CCCCCCCCCCTTCCAGGCCCCGCCCGCCCACCGCTGCAGCCCATGCCCCCAAGGTTGTAGTTGAGTGTGGACGCGCCCATGCCAAAGTGGTGCATGATCGTCGCGCTCAGCGAGGGCGTCGGGTTGAACAGGGAGCAGTTGGTGATGACGAACCCGATCTGCTTGGGGCTCACGCCCGTCTTGTTGAGCAGGTCGCGCACCGCGCTGAAGCAGCACACCTCAAACTCCTGCGCACGGCAGATGGGGCGGCTTCGGTGGGTTTGGCGGAACCTGGACCGGCGCCCGCAACCCTGGGGAGCGCGAGCTGCCTCCGCCGATTGCACGGCCAGCTTTTGCTAGCGCCGCCAATGCTTTCACCGCTGCCGCCGCCGCCGCCGCCGCCGCCGCCGAATCCAGGCCGCTATCACCAGCTGCTTCAAACTCGCTGCCCCGGCCTCGCCTCCAGCGGCCCACCCAGATGTGCATCGCTTCATGGCGCGTACCAGCACGTTTCAATACCCTGTTGGCGGGTCGCATCGGGCACCCACTCCACCACCAACGTGCCCACCCACCACCGAACCGCCCACACACCTTGCGGGCGTGCTCCATGTCATAGTGTGGCGGGTTGGAGTACAGCCACGGCGGAATGTAGGTCTCATCCCCCAGGCCAGACCTGCCCATTGATGTGTTCGTGCTTTGTCAGGCCGTGCCAAAGCCACGCACGCGCGCACATGGCTGCACGCAGGTCCATCAACCAGTTGTGTTGTCCTGATCAGCTGAAACCTTGTCAATCAGAACCGCAAACTCAGACTCAGCCATGTGCGCGTGTGTATACACACACACGTGAAAACGTCCGATAAACACACACGTACTCATGCACATGCACATAGGGGAACATGCAACCTGTGCGTGCATGTACACACACACCCCACACCCAAACGCAACATCAATCACAACAACAGCAACAGAAACAGCAACAGCACCAGCAAAAGCAAAAGCAACAGCAACAGCAACAATGACGACCCCACACTTGTGAACGCAGACAGACCCCTTTGTCCCCACCTCATGAGGATCTTCTCCTGGAAGTCCAGGTCGTCCTCTGTGAACCGCCCCTTGCCCACGCGCGCGCTGTGGGGCAGGAACCACTCCTTCGGAAACTTCCACTCCTCTTGGCCCTGCGGGGGCAGCGGCAGGCGCACGGGCGGGATGGTGGCCGGCTGGGCTGCTGGGACGACACGGAATGGCTGATGTGCGCCGGCCACAAGTCGCTGCCGTCGACCGCTGGCCAATCGCTGTGCCTTTGGAACCAAGCGCACATTACGCATCTCCAACTCCAGCTCCCCCTGGTCCTTCTGCGCGCCCAGCCCAGCAACATGTGTCGGGCGTCAAGTTCACACCTTATGAACCGAGAAATCGACAAGGTAGGTCGGCCGCTCCGAGGGGAAAAGGAGGCGCAGCAGCAGCACCGCCAGCAGGCCGACGGCCGCCACTACGGCCACCTGGCGGGTCGGCAGGGCGGGACGGAAGGGGGTTGGGGTGGCGCGGGCGACGGTTCTGTACAGAAAGCGAGGCTGTGTCTGCCCAGACCTTCCTGGGGGCCTTCGTTCCAGCTCTTGGGATAATGCTGCCATTTCCAGGTCCCCTATGATGGTCCATCTAACCCATCTACATACTCAACAGCTGTAACTCGTCCTCAGCACGCCGTTGCATTCCGCATGCCCCTGCCTTCCACCGCGACAGGGCTCCCGCGCGGCAATCCCCGCTCGCTTGCCGGACCGCCGACCGCCGCCAACTGTAATGGCATCTGCAACTGCCTGCGCCGCCTGCCCCGCCTGCATCGCGACAGGACGGCGTGCGCGGATGTACGCCTGCCGAGCCTTGCGCACCAGGCTGACGTTCACGCGTGTGTCCAGGTATGTGCGCAGCAGCTGCTCCAGCTCCCCCGCCTTCCAGAGCTCGTTCAAACGGTACTGCAGGGCGCATACGTATGACCACAGCCAGTCAGCGCGCCCTGCCGCCGCTGCCGGCTTGCAGTAACGCGTCGCCGCAGCCGCAGCGCTTGCAACCCCCGGCAGCGTCGCCACAAGCAGCACGGTTGCAGCGGTGCTGGCTGCTCAGACGCATGTCCCCAAGCGCCAGCAAAACAGTAACGCGACTTCTTATCAAAATCCTGACAACCACTCGAGGGGGCATGGTCGCGCACATATGGGGCAGCCCTCCCTCCGACCCATCTTCGGCCTCACCGCCAGGACGGCCGCTGCAGGCACTGCCACAAGAGTTCCAGCATTACGGCTAATGGCGTTCACCACCCGCTTCAAGCTCTTGATCGAGTCATTCCCGGCTTGCGCCATTGTGCTCCGCTGCCAGCCCGCGGCTGGTGGAGTTTACAGCTGCTCTAAACACGTTTGACGTCACGTAAAAGCAATGTTTAGACCCGTCAGGTGGCCCGTGTGGGGATGTGGGCAGCTGTTGGGGTGGCTCCAGGAAGAACACCACGGATACGGCCGTGGACACGTGCGCCACGGTTTTTATGTAAATAACACCGATATGACCGATATAAATGGGATGTCACCGGGGCTGCAGCCGTGTTCGAGTGTATGACGGGTTGGCAAAGGGATTGTCATCTCCCGATAGAGCTGCGCCGACAGCAGTAGTCGATGTCACAGTTGGTTGGCACAACCAAATTTGGATTCAATCACCTGTCACCTGCAGCGTGGCTGCCTGGCGGCGGCTGCCTGGTAGCATGCAGCCAGCAAAGCACGCGTGGCTGGGTGCGGCAACAAAGGCAAGCAGCCGCACTGTGCATGCAGCAGGATGATGATCAACACTCTGAGAGATTGTTTGGGCGGGAGCCACCAGGCCCGCAGATCCATGTGCAGCGCATGTGCTTGTGTCGGTCCATGCGTCACACATGTTTGGGGGAGAGTGAGGCCCACCAAGTGACGGCGAAATACCGGGTGCCCCCATACTTTGATGACCGACAGCTCTACACACACGTTCAAATGCACAGCTGTAGGCACTTTGGTAGCTTCTTTGTTTTGTTGAGGTAAGGTCTCTTCAGCGCCTCGGCCTTCGCCAACCTCCATTACATGCACGGTGTTGCTGCTGTCAACTAGTTCCCTTTCTTTGGTGCCTGGGCACTCGCCGCCGGGGCTTGCCTATGATGCAAAGCCACACCTGCTGCATGCACCTCGGAACCCTGACCCACCCTGCATGCGACCCGCTCAAATTCTGCATTAGCACACAGGTGCTGCTGCCCCCAGCACAAGTCCCGGCCTGCTTTTGCCTCTATGCACGGAGCCCATCGCCTATTGTCAACTTCCAAGCAACCAAAACCTAAATTGCACTCAGTGATGTCGCTGCAGCGACAGCTTGGCAGACCCAGGAGAAGGGTTACACACAAGCCACGATTTTGCTTTTTGCTACGGACCCGCAAGGCCGCAATTGAGGGCGCAAAGCTGCGCCAGGAGCCCACAAATAGCAGACATCCAAGGCTCCCTCTCGTTGCACCCTGCAGCGCCCACAGGCAACAGCTGGGGACCGCCCAGGCCCGCTCGCGCGGGGCACGGGCTTGGGTGCAACCGCAAGTGCCATGCGCTGCATGCTGTTGCAGCCGCATGCTGCGCCAGGCTGACGCGGCTCCTTGACGACGAACCCGCAGCCACCCGGGCATTCTCCACCAGGCACGAGGAAACGCCGCCGCACCAGGACCACCGCCAGCCTCCCTCCAAGCTGGCGTGCCACCATCACACCGCTGCCGCTGCGACCGCTTCTCCCTCGGGCCTGCAGCCCAGGGCCGCGGCTGCACAAGGCTGGGCGCTTAGCGGAGACGGCGAGCCTCGCGCTCCGACTCCAGGAGGGTGAGGATGTCACCTGAGAGGTGTAGGAATCACAGGGAGATAGGGTGATACGGCACAGTCATGACACAGGGGGAAACCACTTAAGGATGTCGCGCGCTGCCATTCCTGTACAAGCTGGCCGTTGATTTCGCCGCGCTGTGCCTGGTGTCATGCTGGCGCTGCAGCTGGCGTCGAGATGGCATACAAAAGCGCGCCGGCTTCACAGGCGCCGCACTGCGTTGAGACAGGCCGTGGCAGGCGCGGTGATCTTGACATGTGTAAAAGCGTCCGGCTGCGTGCACCGGTGCGTATTACCCTGCACACGGGTGCAAGGCTGGCTTGGCCCTGCCGGCAACACTGTGCGTGTACTGTAGGCGCTGCTGCCTGCTCCAGCCACGAGCCACCCGGCCGTCGCACAGTCCAGGCAATACCACACTGCTGGTCGTTGCACTGCCTGCAGAAACAACTGATTACTCCCCATCAAGCCAGCCGCGAGGCGCAACCACCATCAATACACTGATGCTGCTGCTGTTGCTGCTGCTGCTGGTGCCGCAGCTGCTGTCTGTACTGGAGCCGCAACTGCTGCGCTAATCCCTGCTGTCCTGCCTGCTGGTCATGTTCTCCATGCCGACTGCCTCTGTCACAGCCCCCTTGCCCCAGGCAGGCCCGATGCAAGTGGAAGCGCAAGCACACCGTTGTGGCGCTGTGCCCAGCACCCACCCTCGCGCACGGGGCCCTTCACGTTGCGCATGATGAGGCGGTTCTGGTCGTCCAGGAACTTCACGCGCACCTGGGTGACCTGTTAGACGCGGGCGGCCGCAGTCAGGCACCGCTGGGCGGCAGCCATCGCAAACAGGGCTCGCGCGTGGGAACAGCCCCTTTTCATACCTGGCCACGAGAGCCAGTCCGGCCGATGACCTTCATCACGATAGCGAGCTTAGCGGGCTGATCCTGCGGGTAGAACAGAACGAGCACGGCCAAGCAGCGTGAGCACAGCCCTCGGGACCTCGCAGAGTTGGCATGAACCTAGTACATAGACAGGTCCAGGGTGGCTGCCAAGCGGACTTTCGCGAGCTGCAGGGCCAGCCCCCCGCCGTCCTCCTCCTCCCGGACAGCGCAGGACGTCCCACCATTTTGCTGCTGCTTTACTGCCGCCCGTGTAGACAACGGATGCCGCGAAAGAGGGCGTTGTGGGGGAGCGCATGCCGGGTTGTGCGCTGCTGTGAGCGTCGCCCGCCCAGCTGCCGCAGCACACAGCGTGGTGCCCGGCGACGGCCAGGCGGACGCCATGCTCCTGCCCTTGCAAGAAGGTGGCGTGTAGCTGCAGTCATTGCTACAGGCACTGCTGGTTCCAACCATTTGGGTGGATCCACAGCCAGGAGGAGGTGTGGTCCGCCTCCAACCCCGGACGGCAACCCGCATCGCATGCGGGCACTTGCGCAGCCCTACCCGAGGCCCGGCACTGCCTTTACTGAGTGCTGGGTTGCCTGTGCACCCCCCCCTACACCCTGCCTCTCTGGCCCGGTCAACTTGAACATCGCATCCCTCTCCAGCAGACGCACCCAGAGGGCCTCTCCAATCAGGTGAGCAGTACCGTATTTTTGAATCCACAGCCAAGCCGGGCCCAGGCGCGCCCCACTCCTGTTTTTACCAATACTTCGACCATGCATTCAGGAGCCGCAAAATAGTGCGATCAAAATGGGGAGCGCGAGTGCAACTTCGTAAACAAACATGCCCCGCAGGCCGTCAGGGCGGTGGCCCCCTGCAGAGGGATCGCGCTTTCATGGAGGGGCCGCAGCACGGGCCGTGCAGTCCAACTGACTGTGATGTGTCTCTATGGGGCTCTTCAAAGTTTTGCGTGATGCGTTCACAGACCCACCCAATCATGCGTGCAAACGCACACGCGTGCATACACATGCCAGAAACACGCGCGTGCACACACACAAACACACACACACACACACAGAGAGGCATGACAGCTTCAACAACCCCAGGGGCCCGAGCAAGTGCGTCAGCCGCCCAGCTCGTGCGGCCACCAACCGCAACCCCCAATGGGGCGCGAGTCCGGGACCCCTGGCCGCCGCACCGCGTCAACGCAAAGTAGCAGCAACACGGCACACGGCGCGGCCCGACGCAATGCGACGCGTTATCAAAGGAGCCGCCCGGAATCTCAAAAATAGGGGCCCGCGTCGTGCCTGGCAACATAGCCTGCGGCGCAGCATGCGCACGCCTCAGTTCAGTTCAGTTCGAGCTCTACGGCTGCCGCAGCTTCGCGGCAGCCGCTGCTTGCGACGGGCGCTCGGGCCCTGCGCGCGTAGCAGCGCGGCATACAGGGGGGCACAGCGGCCAATCAAAAGCGCCATATGGGCACCTTGGAAAAAACATGGGCGAGGCCGATCGACAGCGCACTCAAGAGGCAGGTGGGAATGCGGGTGAAGGGGCCGTCACAGGGAGGCCCTGCCGCGCGGGCAAAGAGGGCGGTGATCCGGGCCGGGCAAAAGGGTCGCCGCCCGGCAGCAGGCGCCGGGCGGCTGCCGCCGCGGGGCCGTGCCGCGGCTCTGACGGCGCGGCGCCGCTGGTCGACGCGAGATCCCGGGGAGGGACAGCGTTCGAGGGGCCGGCCACCCGGCAGTGCGAATCAGGCTTGCACACACATCAGTTCAATTTCTACGTGCCTCGCGGTACAGTTCGGTCCGCCATGCGATAAACGAGCCGCCGGTCGCTGGCAGGCGGGCTCCGCGCGCGTGTGCGCCTGCGCGCGCGCGCCGCGGCGGCCGGCGCCTGGCGGGCGTGGCTGTGCGAGGGGGAAACGGCTGTCGCTTGCTACTCAGCCGTCGGACCGGCCTAAAACAGGGCCCCTGTCGCAATGGGGGGCGCCGGCGAACACAATCACATCACAGCAGCCGCACACGCAGCTTATAACACGCCAGCCAATCGCTGTGTTGTCCAGGGGCGATCCCACAGCCAGAACCAGACGAGGAGAATACTTCAAAGGCGCAAGAGTGCTTCAAGGCGTGCGGCCGCTGGGGGCAGCCGGTTGAGGGTGGCGGCCGCCGGCGCAGTGCCACCCTGCAAACTCGGCGGCTGGCTGGGGAGGGGGATCGGGGAAGGGGGGCGTGGAGGCATGGATGACAAGTGCAGGGAGCTGTGAGGAAAATGTTGATGTGCCGCTTTGGGGCGCCCAGTGCCCCCTGCAATTGGCAGCGGGGCAAAACTGTTGCGCGTGTGCGCGTGTGCGTGCAGCGCGGGCCAGCACCGGGCTGGCGCGGGCGCCAGCTGCGGCGCTGCTCCCCGGGGCCTAGCGCGCCCCGGCCTGGCGGCTGCCTGCAGGGCTTCTAAGTGCTTTGCAGGGTTACCTAAAAACGGTTGAAGGAAGAAAATTGGGGCCACGGCAACCTTGGGTAACAATCCGGCCGCACAAACGTAAAACTGGGAGTCGACGCCTGTGGTCCAACGCGGCGTGAGCCCTTGCCCGGGGCGCCGCACGTCACGCGCCGCCCCGGTCGGGGGCCTGCGGCTGCGGCGCGCCCTGCATTGCCAACCGCTGCAGGAGGGCGCCCAGCTCCTCTACACCCAGGCCCACCCCGCCGCCCGCCTCGACGGCCGCCTGCGCGGGCTGCGGCGGCTGCAGAAGCGCGGGAGGTAAGTTCGGGCGGGCAGCAGAAGAAACTGTAGGGGAGATGATGGGCGACTGCTGCTCCTGCTGCTGCTGCTGCTGCTGCTGCTGCAGAAGCTGCTGCACCTGCAGCTGCACCATGGAAAACTGCGCGTCCAGCTGCTGTTGCTGCAGCTGCGGTTGCTGCAGCTGCAGCTGCTGCCCCATCGCGTGCCAATTATGGGCCGCGGAATGCGCACCAGGCTGCTGGGCGGAGGGCCCAGCCCCATACGTGGGCGCGCCGTAAGGTAATGAGGCGCCCGGCGGAATTCCGCCGGCATGCCAGGCATGGGGCGCGGCTTGCTGCAGGGAGTCGGCACTGAGGCTGTAGCCGCCAGCAGAGGCGGCAGCAGCGGCGCCAGGAGGGTCGCAAAGCACACCCCAGCAGGATCCACCGCCGATGCCCATCTGCTGCTGCACCATAATCATCATTTGCTGCTCTTGTTCTTGCTGCTGCTGCAGCAGCTGCTGCTGCTGCTGTTGCTGTTGCTGCTGCTGCTGCTGCTGCTGCTGCTGCTGCTGCTGTTGCTGCTGCTGCTGCTGTTGATGCTGCTGCTGCTGCTGCTGCTGCTGCTGCTGCTGCTGCTGGTGCGCCTGCCGCTGGCCTGGCGGGGGCGGCCGGATCATGCCCTGAGCAATGGCGACCGCCGCCTGCTGCTCCAGCTCAGCCGTCAGCTGCTGCGGCTGCCGCCCCAGGGAGTGCGCCTGCGGCGGCCGCGCCGCGTCGCCGCTGGCACCGCCTGAGGCCCCGGCCGCGGGCGCGGGCAGCCCCTGCGGCCGCCGAGCGCCCGCAGGCACGGGCGAAGGCACGGGCGCCAGGCGCTGCCGCGCCGCGCCGCCGCCGCCGCCGCCGTTGCCGCCGCCGCCGCCGCCGCCGCCGCCCCCGCCACTGCCACTCCCGCCGCCCGCGCTCCAGCCGCCAGAGCCGGGCGACTGGAGCGCGGCGAGGTGCATCGCTTGCTCTGCATCAACCAGCGTCAGCTGCTGCTGCTCCTGCTGCCACATCCGCGCTGCCTGCTCTGGGTCCCGCAGCTCTTCGGGGCGGTGGGCGAAGAAGCAGAGGCGCTGGTTGCAGCCGGGGCCGTTGCGGCAGAGGGAGGTGCGGTAGCGTGTGGGGTGCAGCCAGTACTCTGCGGGGCGTGGGTGTGGCGGCGGGTGGGCGGGCAGGCGGCTATACGGTGTGTGGTGTGTGTTTTGTGGTGTGCGGTGTAGAGAGAGAGAGTGTGTGTGTGTGTGTGTGCGCGCGCGCACGTGTGTGTGCGCGCGCGACAGACAGCCCATCTTAAAGAGAAAGAGCGGGAGAGAGAGAGAGAGAAAGAGAGAGAGAGAGTGTGTGTGTGTGTGTGTGCGCGCGCGTTTGTGCTTGCGCGTGCACGCAGCTGCACGCAGCTGCATGCACATGCAAGCACATGCGATTGCAAGCATGCTGGTGTTGCTGAGCGCTTCGCAGATGTGCAAACATGCATGCAAGTCAGCCCATGTCTGAAGCACAGCGGGCGAACGCCTCGCGTCCGATCCGTGGAAGCCCACGCCGCTCGCGCTCACACTCACCAAACAGCTGGTGCGCATAAGGGCAGTCGTCACCCGCTGCACAAAACTCGCCCTGTAAGGAGAATGAGCGCAGGCGCTGCCTCTGCGTCATCCGTCCGCTCGGGTGGTCACTTTACCTTCTGTCTTGAGCGCCGATTGCCCCACCCCTACTGGAGTTGCAGCGCACTCACCCCCCAGTTGGCGACCAACCTCGCAAGCCGCAGCCGCCCGCTGCAAGCATAGGCCCCACGCGCGCGCGCCCTGCCGGCCCCGGCGCCCCGCACCCGCTTGCTGTTGGGGCAGGCCTTCGACTGGTATGGGTGGATTTTCGGGTCTCGCCGGCGCGCCTTTTCCCCTCGGTGCGCGAAAGGGCAGAGGGACCTGTTGTTGAAGTGGATGTGGCCGGTTGGGGGCGAGAGGGGGGGTTGTGAGGGGTACACGGGGGGGGCCGCGGTTTGGGTGCGGTGCGGGCGTGGCCAGGGGGCCGGCTGCGCCACCAGCGGCAAGGGGCGGCCTTGGCAGGGGCCCGCTGCGGGCGCGGCTGGCTGCATGGCTGCATGGTGGTTCTGCGGAGAAGCGCGCAGCGCGGCGCGGCGCGGCCGCTGCGGCGCATGCCACGGGCCGCGCTGGGCGCTCCGACGTCAAGCGGCGCTTGAAGGACGGGCGCACCAGTCATGGCTGCGGGGATGGGGTGACGCAGAGGGGGTGCGGGGATGACCGTGAGTAATGGGGGTGAGGTGGCGGTGAGTGAGGAGATGCGCAAAGCACGCCCCGTACGCCTCGCAACCTGGCCCTGAGGCACGGGTTCCGGCCTGCGCTTCGAACGCAGGGTGCGCGCCAGCGCAGGCTCACCTGTACCGCTTATCACACGACACCACCTGCAGGCGCCAAGGGGGGTTGGACAGCGGGAGAGCTGAAGGCGCCGCGCCGGAGGCGGGGTCCCCGGCCCATCACACCCAACCCCCAAAGCAGAGCAACGCCGGGCGTGTGCGCGCAAAGGGGCTGCAAACATTCCGGAGCACGCCGCGGGGCGGGAAAAGTGGCCTGGATTTGGGCCGACGCCATGGTGGACGGTTGCATTGCTGCGATCAAGCGGCGGCAGTCGAACAGGCGGGACCCTCACCTTATAACTGAACATCATGAACTCAACAGAGGAGCCCCGGCCGAGGGGCTCCATTCTGCCTGGTGGTCCCGCGACTGTCGAGCCCGCCCACCCACGCCGCGCATCGCAGGGGGCGCCTGCGCGCCCGCGCCTCGACCGCGCGCCGGGGAGGTGGCTGGGGGCCTGCGGCGGG